ACTGAATTAAACTACATAAATATTTATGACAAAAAAAAGTCAATGACTATTAAAAAATTAAAATAAAAATTATTGTAAGGTTTCAATTTCTTGTTCATATGAAAAACTTAAAAATAGCAAATTTAAAGTAACAGCGAATGAATAGAAATGCTCAATCAAACAAATTGTTAAGCTAATTAAAAGTTAAATTTTTTTATCTATAACAAAAAAGTGATGTTATTAGTTTATATTTACTTGACCACACCACTTCCAATTTTCAAAAACCTTGGTATTCTCAAAATAATTATTTATTTTTTATTTTTTAAATAATTGGAACTTTTTTTACTTTTTGGTCAAACCCAACTAATTAGGTTAACAATACAAAAATTTGAAAATTTGTAAAATTTTTACATTTTATACATATTTATTTAGTCATCAATAAACTATTAAATAAAAAAAATCATAAATAAATTGATTCTAAACTTTTAAAAATTTCCTAAGCGTTTTATTTTTTATAAGTTTCAAGAACCTTTATTTGCATTGAATATCCATCTCATGAGATTTAGTACAATTATTATTCAAAGATGCATACGCATAACCTTTAAGAGTGATTATTATTATTATTATTATTATTATTATTATTATTATTATTATTGCTATTATTATTATTATTGCTATTATTATTATTATTGCTATTATTGCTATTATTATTGCTATTATTATTATTATTATTATTATTATTATTATTATTATTATTATTATTATTATTATTATTATTATTATTATTATTATTAATAAGATAATACAATAAACATAGTCAATATCAATCAATTCAAAAAAAAAAAAAAAACTAGATAAATATTTTACATACAAATTTTAATTATGTTTGAATGTTCTGTGTTAGAGCTGGTTAGTTACAAACTCTTTGTGGTTTAGACTCATAACTCTTAAAGTGTATAGGGCTTTTTCAAACATAATTAAATTTCTTTTCAAACATGTTAAATTCTAGTTCCTCAAAATCAGATGTTTAACATGTATTTTTAGTTGATTTATTCAAATAATAAATAACAAATATAGCATAAAACTATTTCAATTTTTGAAAAATATCAGTTGTTTTAAAAATTAATAAATTGAGAAACTATTTAAAAAATTAAAAAATTATTATTTGTTATCAAATAATAATTTTATTTATAAAATAACTATATAAGTTATAATTGAAATTAAATTAAATATCAAGTTACAAACGAAATAACAAAAATTATTGTTCAACTTCTTTTTTCTAACTAGTATAGTTAAAAAACAACATTGTTGGAAGTAGAACTAGAAAGATTGTTGGAATCGGAAAAAATAAAATGATTTTAACAAAGCTAGAAAAACTTTAAATTTTGGAATTAATTTATAAAATAAAAAAAATTAAAAAACTTGATTTAAACCAAATTGGTTCTAAGCAGGATTTGTTCTCGGAAGTTATTTAACAAAATTCACATTTGTTTACTTTTTCGTTAAGGAGACTTCGTGCATCTTTTACATGAAAAGCGTTATGTAGTCTTGACGTTAAGAAAGTGTGTTGTTATAGATTTTTTTTGTTTTTTGTTTTTTGTTTTTATTACAATACATTTAAAGAAAAATTAGTTATTTTACAATTAGATCGTTAGAAAAAAATTACAATAAGATCGTTAAGAAAAATTAACAATTAGATTGTTAAAAACGTTACTCAATGAGAAATAAATAAAAGAAAAAACTAAGACTTTTTTGTTAATATAAAAAGAACGCAGAGACTCGCAGAAGACCATTAGGTCTTGTCATCAAGAACCGCTCGTAAATTAAAACTTCATAAAATTCAATATATAAAGTATCGGACAAAACAAGTGCAAACAAATAATGCTAATTTAGTTTCTTTATATATAGGTGCTGCATTTTTTCAATTTAGAGAAATAACTGCTTAGAGACAACGTTCTTCAAGTTTTATTCATCACAAAGTTCATTATTTGTACACAAAAGTTAATAAATTATTCAAAAGTATTAAAAAAAATTTCCTTCTGTACAAAACAAGTGCAACTCCACAAAATGTTGACCAAGCTGTATTTCGCTATCAATATTTTGTGGAGAATCTTTTGTTGTCGACTACAGCCTTGCATCTTCGATCAATGATCAATGAAACTGCTGCCCATGCCTTTTGGATTTGTTCAAAAAGTTGATCCTTATTACGAACACCTTCACGATTAATTCTGCGGTTGACGATTTCCCACATGTTCTCGATAGGAGATCCGGAGGTTGAGGCGGCCAATCCATCACCAATAGATGGTTGTCTTAAAATCACTGTTGACTACTTTTTAAGTGTGTTTCGGATTGTTGTCTTGCTAAAAACCCCATTTTATTGGCATATTCCATTCAGCATGAGGTAACAGGATATTTTTAAAATATCCTTTCAGGATATTTTTATACATGAAACGGTCTATAATTCTATCGTTTCGATGTATTGGATCTAGACCGCTAGCAGAAAAACACACTCAGACCATTACATTGCCTCCACCATGTTTCACGGTCTTATGGCAGTAAAGTAAATCGAGGCGTTTTCCGGCCGGTCGATGTACACGGCAAATGCCATCGCTCCCAATGATGTTGAACTTCGATTCATCACTTAACAGGACAGTTCGCCATTTCTGCAAATTCCAGTCAATATGAGATGTAGCAAACAGAAGTCTTTCTTTCTGGTTCTTTACTGAAATCAGCCATTTCTTTGGAGGGCGTCGAGAAAACAATCCGGCTTCAACAGCACGTTGCCTGATTGTTCAGTCCGATACAGGCAGCTCTAACTGCTTTTGTATCTCGACTGATGATATCCAGGGATCCTTCTTGACGGATCTGACGATCATAGAATTCTTTCTAGAAGTGGTGGAATGTGGTCTTCCACCTTTGTTATCTGCTGCCAACTTTCCCGTAGAACGATATTTGGAACATAGTCTTGATACGGTCCATTTTTTCACGCGATATTTATCACAAATACTTTTTTGTGACATTCCACTTACGTAATCGCCAATAATTTTCTTTCTTAGTTCCAATCCAAGACTGTCAAGAGTCATTTTTGCACTTGAAGTCATAAAAATATTAAAAAATAAATAATCACACTTCTCAAGGCTTACCGTGTTACATTTACCTTGTGATGATACAATAATGCTCTGTGGACTGTAGTGATGTGGACTGTATTGATGTAATAAAACACTTGTTGTATTTCACTTCTTGTATTGATGTTCTTTGATAAAACACTTTGATAAAACTCACTTCGATAAACTGTCTTGATAATACTAACTGATTGACTTCCATATACTAACTGAATTACATGTCGGTTTACATGTCTCTTTTATAGTAAAATGAACCTGTGTGAACCTGTTCTGAAAGATTCTAGATGCTTTTTTTCGATGCTTCTGGAAGCTTTGAATGCGTCTAGATGCTTCTGAATGTTTCTGAATACTTCTGGATGCTTCTGAATGCTTCCATATGCCTCTTCTGGAAACTTCTGAAAGCTTCTGCATGCTTCTGGAAATTTCTGGATACTTCCGTTAATTATTAAAAAACTTTCGTGACGTTGACACAGACCAGACTTAAGAAAATGAAACAAATCCAAAAAAGTTGTACTTGTTTTGTCCGCAGCAAAATAGCACTTGTCAACGAAGTTCTGCCTGTGTGCTGTCACCTGTCAGTTGATTGCTCATGTCATGGCATGTTATGACTCAAGACTCCTGATCTGCTTGCTGTGGTAGTATAGTTCGCTTTGTTTTTAAGACATGTAAAATTAGGAACACTTTATAGCATTGTCCGATGTTATATAAAGTCTGTATATAAAGTCAAGTTGTTCCTATAAATAAATTCAACTGAATAAACATAAACTAAAATAATACATTAAATTAATAACGTTTAAAAGTATGACAATACATCATCATGTGACAAAACAATTTCTTTAAGCTGAAAAATAACTCCATTGCAGAGAAAAATTAAAATGTTTTAAAACTATTTTGCTCCAAAGAAAAGCTTCTCGAAAACAAGTACTAGATTTTTCAAAGCTAGTCTGAAAAAATGGTTGACGAATTAAATTATCATTTCTTAAATTGTATTTATTTTTATATTTCAGCGTGTATAAATTATGGAAGAAACTGCGGAAGAGTTAGTTTTACAATTATGCATAAAACAAAGAATGTTAAAAACATTCAGCTGATATATATTAAGAATTTTCATTTCAAATAAACGAGGCTTGGCATGAGAAAATCTGTTTTTAAAACTAATAAGACGAGCAACATGCTTGTGTTGACGATAAAGAGGCTCCAGTTTACAATTATTGGCATTGCGCCAAGCAATATTTGCATAGTTTAAATGACAATGGATAAAAGAGAAATCTAATTTAATTAGACTGCGTTTATTTAACACACCTCTAGCTTTATACAATATTCCTAAATTTTTCGCAATTTTATTACACAAGATTTCAATGTGGTATTTCCAACTAAGGTTTTCATCAACATAGATGCTCAAAAAAATAGCACTAATAACTCTTTTTATTTGGATTTTATCAATAAAAAGTAAAGGTAGTTCACAAGGAAGTAGTTTTTTTTAGACGCTGGATGAAAAAGGGTCTATTTTGTTTTTTCAACATTTAGTGAAAGTTTATTCATTTTAAACCAATCAGATATTTTTATTAATTCCATGTTCATATCTTGAAATAATGTAGTTATGCCATTATCAGACAAAAAGAGGTTACTGTCATCGGCAAACATGACTGACATCAAATTAGAAGCTTTATAAAGATCATTAATATAAATGAGATAGAGAAGGGGCCCTAATATTGAGCCCTGCGGAACCTCACAGGTTATGTTTAATAAATTAGATGGGTTAACTTCATTACTATAATCTAACTTTTTGCGGTTATTTAAGTAACTTTGAAATAACTTTAAAACATTTCCTTTAATTCCATAATATTTAACTTTTTTAAAGAGAATTTGATGATCAATTGTATAAAAGCTTTTGATAAA